AGCTTCTCCTCCAATTTGTGGTGTGCGCCTTGATGTTATCACACAAAGGTGACGGACCTACAGTTTTACGCCGACTCCGAACGGCGATTGTATTTTTACTGCTGTTTTTCANTATGCGCCAATGCTTCTGATAAATAATTTGTCTTTGTATTCTTACACAATAATAATAATAATAGATTGGCGCTTACACATAAGTGGAGCTTCTCCTCCAATTTGTGGTGTGCGCCTTGATGTTATCACACAAAGGTGACGGACCTACAGTTTTACGCCGACTCCGAACGGCGATTGTATTTTTACTGCTGTTTTTCAGCAGAAATACACTCGGAGGTTTACCATTGCCTGCCGAGGGGCGACCGCTGGTAAGAAAAAACCTTTTTTATTACAACGCTTTTATCAACTTGCAATGTTGTATGTCCAGACCACCATTTTATATTATAAATATAGCAAAGGTATTTATGGCAAACCTAGTCTAGATATCAACCTCGTCGTAGGTATCATATCAAAGACATACAATTAGAAAAACTCTAGAGATAGATGTCGCCCCGCCAGAAAAACTTAAAAATATGCACTACATACAAAAAATAAAAATTACATAAACGGATGATCAAACTTGAAATCTATATATATAAAACAAAGTCGTGTTAGTTACACCATTTATAACTCAATAACGGCTAGACCGATTTTTATGATATTTGTTTCTTGAATTTGTCTATCTTCCGAATAGCAGGATAACTATTAAAACAACCGCTAGATGGCGCTGGAGTCAAGTTATTAGTAAAACCCTTATTTATGGTCCCATTCGTCTCATATTTGAGATATGTATTGACAATAGGAAAAACAATACCATTGCAACGAAAAGAGCTGCCATGTGGCGTTGGAGTCGAGTTATCACTAAAAATCGTGCTTATGGTCCGATTATCCTCAGATTCAAAATATGTTTTGATAACAGGAAAATGAATTCTTTCGCCAGGTGGCACTGAAATTGAGTTACATATGTATATCTATGTAACTAAAAATCTTATTTATGCTCGAATTTATTTCATTATCGAAATATATATAAATTCATATATCGATGGTCCTCCGAAATAACGACACAACCCAAAATTCAAAAAATCAAATCCCTTATTACTGTTAAGAGGCTCATGTATATAATCCTTGGCTAACCCATGTCTAATCCTAACTAAAGTAAGTAGTAAAGATTATACATGAATAAGACAACGAGATTTTATTTTTTGAATTGTGTCATTATTGTAGAGGACCATCGATATATTTATGACAGGAAAAGATACATATGTATGTATGAAGTAAGAAATTCAGTCGGAAGCAGCCGTTTACGAACAACTGTTCNCATACAATTAGAAAAACTCTAGAGATAGATGTCGCCCCGCCAGAAAAACTTAAAAATATGCACTACATACAAAAAATAAAAATTACATAAACGGATGATCAAACTTGAAATCTATATATATAAAACAAAGTCGTGTTAGTTACACCATTTATAACTCAATAACGGCTAGACCGATTTTTATGATATTTGTTTCTTGAATTTGTCTATCTTCCGAATAGCAGGATAACTATTAAAACAACCGCTAGATGGCGCTGGAGTCAAGTTATTAGTAAAACCCTTATTTATGGTCCCATTCGTCTCATATTTGAGATATGTATTGACAATAGGAAAAACAATACCATTGCAACGAAAAGAGCTGCCATGTGGCGTTGGAGTCGAGTTATCACTAAAAATCGTGCTTATGGTCCGATTATCCTCAGATTCAAAATATGTTTTGATAACAGGAAAATGAATTCTTTCGCCAGGTGGCACTGAAATTGAGTTACATATGTATATCTATGTAACTAAAAATCTTATTTATGCTCGAATTTATTTCATTATCGAAATATATATAAATTCATATATCGATGGTCCTCCGAAATAACGACACAACCCAAAATTCAAAAAATCAAATCCCTTATTACTGTTAAGAGGCTCATGTATATAATCCTTGGCTAACCCATGTCTAATCCTAACTAAAGTAAGTAGTAAAGATTATACATGAATAAGACAACGAGATTTTATTTTTTGAATTGTGTCATTATTGTAGAGGACCATCGATATATTTATGACAGGAAAAGATACATATGTATGTATGAAGTAAGAAATTCAGTCGGAAGCAGCCGTTTACGAACAACTGTTCCTTATCTTAATATATAAAAATCCCGTGTCACTGTGTTCGTTTACGCTAATATCTTAACCGATTCCAATGACATTTTGTGGGTGTGTATACTCTTGGAGCAAAAATTGGAACTATTATAAAAGGGGGCGTGCTACATCCCATACAAACCGAGTTTTTCATACCGCATATCTCTGGAAATGTCCATGGTAGAGTATTGGAACTTAGTATGGCGATATATGAAATCAATCGCATACTCATGAAGAAAAATGGAAGCTATTGGAAAAGGGTGCGTGGCTCCTCCCATACAAACCGAATTTTTATACTGCATATCTCTGAAAGTGTTCATGGTACAGTACTGGAACTTCGTATGGAAATATGTGTATATATGAAATCAAGCCCGTACTCATGGAGAAAATTGGGGCTATTTGAAAAGGGGGCGTGAGGCCTAAAAACGTACCGCCTTTTAGCTATTTTTGAATGTATTTATAATTCTTCTGTAGGGGTGTTTGTTTGTGAAATGCTCCTAAATGGTTGTACGGACTTTAACGAAATATTTTGTGTGTATTTGAGTGGGTCGCTGGATGGTTTAGTTTCAAAACTTAATCCGTCAGTTGGCGCTGTAGTTGAGTTATTACTAAAAATATTATTTATTATCCGATTTGGCTAATATATAAAATATATATTGGTAGTGGTAAGAGCAATACTTGTAATGATACTTGTTGTATTAGTCTAGTTCATTTATTTACTCAATCATAAATTCAATTCTATAAAAAGATATAAACGTATTTTTGATCTTATGTCTTGATACCGCGTGGTCAGATAGATGATTCTCGAACCTGTTCAGCTGTCATTCTCCTCTCGTGTTGCTGCTTCTTCTGTTTCGTATTTCAGGGTTGCCAGATGATCCTGTATTATGACATCCCCTTTGATTTAAAGTTTTAGTAGACCTCGTAGTCGTCAAGTTTTCTTGGAGCTCTACATTCTCTGCGTGATCTTTGACTTGGTTCGCCATCTTGTTGACGGTTTTCGAAAGTAGTCTTCCGACGGGGGGCACTTCCTTCGGCTTGTGGATTTTGCTTGAATTCTTCCTGATTTGACTGGGGTTCAGTTGACTGACTTGTTCGTGTTGACCGTTGGCTACTTTGTTCCGCCTTTTGAGGTACTTCACGCTGTTCTTCATTTGGTACCTGGAGATGAGGCTGTGGTTCCTGAGGTTTTTGTTGAGGTGGTTCGATAAGGTGGTCGTTTGCCATTTGAAGGTGAGTCTGTGATTCGTGCGACTTCCGTTTCTTGGTGTTTGGTTTCATTATGTGAATAGTGTTTCGTCTATATAGTTTGTTTTTTTGCGTTTATGACGAATGATCGCTCGGCTACTTTTTGTTCCATTTTCCCTTTAACCCAACTTTCTTTTGGATTTCGCTTTATGTATACGTTGTCTCCTATTTTTAGATCTTTCTCCTTTTGTGTTCCTTTGTCGAAGTATATTTTGTTATATGTCCGTTGTTGTTTTATTTGGTTTGGTACGTCGGGTACTACTTCTTGGTTTAGATTTGTGGCTGGAATGTCGCATCTTGGCCATCTGCAAAATCGATGTTTGGCTGGGCTGGAGCCCATTTTGTTTGGTGTATTTCTCCAAATTAGTAATGCTTTGTAGAAGTCCGAGTTTGTGGCTAAGGTCTTTTTCAACAGGTGTTTCGCGATCTTTACAGCTGCTTCCGCTTTCCCATGAGCTTGTTGGTGATGTGGGCTTGACGTTTGATGATTGAATTCCCATTTGTCTGTGAATTTCCTGAACTCTGAGTTCATGAAGTTGGTCCCATTATCTGTAATGACTTTGCCGGGTACACCATGTCTACTAAAATTCTTTCTGCATACGTTTATAGTAGTAGTGGCTGACAAATTATCTAACTCGTCGATTTCAAAAAAGGCTGAATAGTGATCCACGGTGATTAGAAAATATTCTGTTTTATTTTTTGTCGGAAACTCGAAGACGTCCATGGAAATGATTTCGAATGGAGTGCAGGGAATCTCGGGAATTATTAGTGGTTCTCGTTGCTGTTGTCTTGCAGCTACATTGCATATTTCGCAGGCTTGGATCATCTGTTTGATTTCATCGGTAATACCTATCCAATAAACGGTTTCTCTTGCCAGTTTTAGTGTTGATTCGATGCCTAGGTGTGGATGGTGTAGTTTGTTCAATATTTCTCGTCTCATTTGTTGTGGTACTATAAGTCGATTACCTTTAAAAACCAAATTATTGTTTGTGACTAACTCGTCTCTTACTTTCCAATATTTTTTGATGTTGTCGTTCACTTTTGACTTGTCCTCGTTACAACCGGCTTTAATCGTCTTTATTAAAATTTGCATAACGTTGTCTTTGGCTGTTGCTTGTTGTAACTTTTTCGTTGTTGTGGTACTAATGGGTTTATCTTCGATGTCATTAATGTTGTTCAATTGCCTGAATTCTTTGTCGATTTTGTAGATTTCGACGCAGCTCTGAGAGTGACAGTCTTCTGGTGCCCGGGACAATGCGTCGGCTACATACATTTCGGCTCTTTTCTTGTATTTGATTGTAAAATTATATTTCTGTAGTTCTAGGATCATTTGTTGTAATCTTTTCGGGGTTTTCAAAAGTTGCTTTTTGAATATGTTGATTAGCGGCGAGTGATCGGTTTCGATGGTTATGTTTTTTCTCCCGCATATATATTGGTGGAATCGCTTACATGCGAATAAGACAGCCAGCATCTCTTTTTCGATTTGTGCATAGTTTTGTTGCGTGGGTGTTAGGGTTTTTGAAGCATATATTATGGGGTTTCCGTTTTGTAGCAATGCACTACCTAACGCAAACGACGATGCGTCGGTCTGTATAACGATTGGCTTGTTCGCATCGTAGTATTTTAAGACTGGCGTTTCTGTTATGATGCTTTTTAACTTTGAAAATGCGGCGGCCTGTTCGTCCTCCCATACAAAATTGCTTTTCACGTGTGTCACTCGTCGTAGCGGTTCCGTTATTTCGGATAGGTTTTTTATGAATTTGCTTAGGTATGTTATTAGCCCTAGAAACCTCAATGTTTCTTTTTTGTCTTTAGGCGTAGGCATCTGTTTTATAGCTGAAATTTTGCTTGAGTCTGGTTTTATGCCTTCACTTGTGAGTATGTGTCCGAAAAATTTAATTTTGCTTTGGCAGACCTTTACTTTGTCCCGGTTGATTTTGAGGTTTTCTTGTCGCAGACGTTTAAGTAGTTTTTCTAAGTTTTGTTATGATCGCTTGTTGCAATTTCCTTGTTTTCACCTTTGCCAAACACTAGGATGTCGTCGGCGATACAAACAACACCCTTTAGACCGGCTATTACTTGGTTTTGTCGCATCTGAAAAATTTCCATTGCTGGCTTTATACCGAACGGAACGCGTTTGAACCTATATTTGCCGTATGGAGTCCAGAACGATGTAAGTTGGCTGCTCTTTTCGTCCAGTGGTAGTTGCCAGAATCCATGTTTGGCGTCCAAAATCGAAAAGATTTTCGCATCTGCTAGTTCTGCTAGAATTTCTTCTACTTTTGGTAGCTGGGTCTTTACATCTTTGATTGCTTCGTTTAGATGTTTTGGATCGATGCATATACTTAGCTTGTTGTGTTTTTTTACTAGGACGAGATTGCTGGTCCACTCGGTAAAGTCTGGTTCTTTTTATATAACGCCCATGATTTCCATCTCATGTAATGTTGATTTCAGTTGTTCGCGCAAGGCAATCGGAATTCTTCGAGGTGGCTCGTTCCTGGGAGTAATGGTGCTGTCGATTTCAAGGGAAGTGTCTCCTTTCAGTTTTCCCAGACCCTGAAATACGTCTTCATAAGCTTCGATGATTTTGTATTGTTATGGGTTACTGTTCGCCGCACAAAATATAAGTACTTTATTCTTCGGCGTATAGCGCACCCGGTAGCGTGCCATAAATGTCACCATCTGATAATTTTTCTAGAGCGTATGGCAACACCAAAACTGCATGGAATGTCTGCCATTTCGCGATAGCTGTGTTCCCTCCGGATGGGTGTCGCTAATTGTCACTAGTTCCTCAGGTCTGTACGCCTACTTTTTCTTGGTTAATAAAAGTTTACCAGCGGAGGCTAGTGATAGTTGTGACAGCTGTCTGTAACTGCCGTCTTCACAGGATGGAATTTATAACTTGATACATCTGTTGGAATGTGGGGCACAGTACATATCAGGGCTTATATCTTGGCATCTATTCCGATAACTTGGTAATTTGACAGCTATGTTTCCCTTTGTACTAAAACATTCTGGCGGAAACATTATCGATATTCCGATATAATATGTGTGTCAACCGGTAACTTTTATCCATGGTGAGATTGTGGGGAAAATTTGCTACGGGGTACAAATAAATAGTATCTGGCTGTGCCAAACGAAAAGGAAAATTTTGTCAAGTGAAAAACCACACAAACGCTCGTGCAGAAGCTCTATTTTGTGTGTTGCTGAAACTGTTAAATTTACATCTATTTTATAACCTGCAAGTAACGTACGTTCTTTTCCAAATTTATCATATTCCATTTTGACTTTCACTTCTATCACTGCCAACAATATTCTACCTTATCCTGAGTTTCGCCCGATAATTGTTCATCCGCCGTAGTAAAGACATGGAAACCAAAAGTTAAAAATGAACCGGTTCGGAATTGCACAACGGGGTCATGGTAACCCCGGACAGCCTCGAACATTCTTTTGACATTCCTCCTTGCACTGCGGCAAATTCCCGGTGGAAGAATAACGGAACCAGTCCAAATGACGCAGTGCCCGTTATTCTTCCAACGGGAATAACTAATTTCCCGCAGTGCAAAGGTATAAAAACCCGCTGGCAACTCTGCAGTCAACCATTTACATATTTGTTCGACAACCGATACCACTCGGAACGGGTGAAAACAAAACACAAGCAAATGGACCACCGTTGCTGTCGCGCGGCCTCGTGCAAATTTCTCCGTTTGTGAGACGTGTGTGCTGCCCAAATGGAGGCAAATGGTTAAAAAAACCAAAAAAACTATATTCCAAAAAATAAGTGAAATTTTATTAAAAACAGTGAAATTAAGTAACGAAAATCATTCCTTGTCGCCGGTAAAATCGGTAAAAGCTGGCGCGGAAGCTAAGCACAAAGCAAAAGTAAGAAGGAGCACGTTGTCGATTTGGCATTAACCGCGTGTGATATTTTGAATACAAGGTTTTTAAATATTGAAAAAAGGGATACATACCACATAACAGGACTACAAAAGCCGTTGAAGAACGCCGCATAGTGTACGTCGGACGTATTGAGGAGGAAACCACCAAGGAAATGCTAAGGAGTAAGTTTTTTGGCCCTATTATGTATGGCAACTGGTATCTAGTTGCTGGTCTAGTAGCCGTGTCTACCAGTATCGTACTTTGTGTTATCTATAACGACTAATCTCAGTATACAGAAAATCGCAGACAACATNACGCCGCATAGTGTACGTCGGACGTATTGAGGAGGAAACCACCAAGGAAATGCTAAGGAGTAAGTTTTTTGGCCCTATTATGTATGGCAACTGGTGTCTAGTTGCTGGTCTAGTAGCCGTGGCTACCAGTATCGTACTTTGTGTTATCTATAACGACTAATCTCAGTATACAGAAAAACGCAGACAACATCCGAATTTACTTTTTTGGACATGTACATTTCGAAGTAATTGGCAACTTTGCTCAAATGTGTTTAACAATTTATGTAAACAAATAACAAAATTGCGCTACAATCAGTAGCCGACAGTCAGTAGTCCGTTGCCATACGTAATGCAAATTTTAATATATGGTTGGCTATCGGCTACCAGTCGCCATACAAAATAGGGCCATTTGCCTTATGGCATCAACAAACAAATTTCTATTCATTATAAAGACACAGGCATGAAATTGGAGTTTGTGCTAAATAAACTAAAAAGGATTATCTGAAAAAAAAGATTAAACTAAAATAGTTTCAAGGAGTGCGTGCCGGAGCTTCATAACAAAATTGCGCTGTTCTGCATCCACAGGAGCGGCCAGCAGTTGGAGCCTTACCACAGAGCGAGCGAGTCCAAGTCAGGTAAGTTTTGGCACCGTGTGAATTTCTTTTCCAAATACTCCTACGTATATAACTAAGAACTGGTTCAACTGCAGCTAAACCCAAAATTAAGTGTGATACTCAGCCAGAAAAGTCGTAACTAAGCGATATGAAGACAATGGCGGCCACTAACATTGGGTTCAGCTGAAGAGCCAACTGGAGAGGATTATAATATTCCTATGTTTCTAGCTTTGACTCTACATTTCAGGTGTCCCCTTACCCCTCTAACACCGGGCGCGGAGGAAAAGCAACAGCAACAACAACAACAATAGTGTGGCTAACGCACAGCAGCAACACCGCCAAGAGCGCGGTCTTAACCGCCAAAAGCGGCCACCTCAACAACGCCACCAACCAGCGCGGCTACTAAGCGCTGTGCAACACCGGCAATAACAACGCCCGCCACTGCAGCGGGGACAACAGCGCGCAACACCAACGCAAAAGCGCGCAACACCAACAACAACAACGCGCAACACCAACAGCAAAGCGCGCAACACCAGCAACAACCGCGTGCGCAACACCAACAACAACAACAACCAGCGCGGCTACTATAGCGCCGCGCAACACCAGCAATAACAACACCCGCCACAGCAGCGGGGACAACAACGCGCAACACCAACAGCAGCGCGCAACACCAACAACAACAGCGCGCAGCAGCAACAACCGGGCGCGCAGCACCAGCAACAACCCCGTGCGCAACACCAACAACAACAACAACCAGCGCAGCTACCATAGCGCTGCACGACTCCTGCCACAACAACAACAGCAGTGCCATACCCAAGCCTGCTGCAACAGTGGGTGAGTCCTTCGGGCCTTAACTAAAGTTTTTTCTTCTTTATTAACAAACCACGAATTTAGAAAGTAAGCCCAACTATTTCAAGCCATAACAAAAGAAAGGGGGTAAAACCGCAAGGACAATAGTTTTAAGAAATTAGAAGTAGGACCGAAATGTATTCAACAAAGTGTGATTGAATTTGACATGGCCCTCAGAAGAACCATGCTATAACGTCAAATTGATTTTCTTTTGAATTTTGAATCACTTGTTCACATTATTATTTTTTCTTCTTTGCATCATAGCACCTTAAAAGAAAGCCTACCTCAGTTGTCAATCACACCTTGTTTAAGCCACCTGACGTATATCTATACATAGATGTAATTACCTATATGCGCAAGTATACATGCATGTACATACATACATATATGCATGTACTAAGGGGAACCAGGGAATATATATATGCGTTTAAATAAATAAATTAAATTAAATTAAATTGAAGGAATGAAATCGACTTAAATTGAATTAAATTAAAACAAAATAAAATACACTACAAATTAGTGAACATTTACAAAACTAAAATAAGTTTAAAATAGAAAGTTAACGAAAAATCAACTAAAATCATTCTAAATAACTAACTAAATTATTATAAAAGGAAAAAGGCCAATATATAACTAAA